GCCGCCGCCGCCGCCGCCAGCCCAGCTCGCCGTCGGGAGACACGCCGAGCCGGGCGCCCGCGTGAATCAAGGGCCCCGGCAGGGGGCAGAGGGGCCCGCGGCGGTCGCCTGCACCCGGGGCTTGGAAAGGCCACCAGAAACGCTCTCAGGCGGGGACTTCCTTCTCCGCGCAAAACGGAGGCCCGTGGACTCCCATCTGTGCTTTGTTCCTCGCAGGGGGCCATTGAGTGGGGCCTTGACTGAGAATTGACCTGATGCAGCAGCCATTTTGAATGACGCATCCCGAGAAAGAGCCTCGCCTTCATTCCCTCAGGCCCGATTCCTAACCCGCTAAGTGGAGTTGCAGTAATGCTGCAAATAAACTTTGTAGGTGCTGGAAGGGTTCTGTCTGCATAATCATGGTGCCCTTACATCCATCTGTCCTCATTTAAACACATCAGTCTGGCTCCTCCGCCGACTGTCTTTTACTGTGACCGGCAGATGTGGGCAACCTGCGGCCCTCCAAGTGCTACTGCCCGACAACCTCCAGCGTTCCGCACCACTGGCCACAGCGGCAAAGGCTGCCAGGAGGTGAGGATCAGCACCAGGTGAAGCGCCGTGGCCAGAGCTCGTGGTCACACTGGCCGTGGACGTAGATCAAGGGGCTTCGGAGAATTCAGAGTGAGCCTCGGGGCTCCTGCTGCTCCCAATTCTGAGCCCCCCAAGCGCTGCCTCCACCGGGTGCTGCCACAGTACCAGGCAGCCGAGGGCGGAGGAGCCGGACGGGAGTCTGAGGGTGGCCTTTCTGGGGAACTTTCCACGAAAGCTAAAGGAAAACCCCTCCAGTGGTGCCTGGGCTGCTTCCCAGCTCCCTCCCTCTATGACAGCATCGAGGGGCCTGGAATCACCTACAGCGCAAGTATCTTCCAGAGCTGTGGCTGGCTCAGCATTGGAGTTACAGATCAACTTCCAAGCACAAGGCTAGATGGTGGCCTTCCACGCTGCTGTTTTCCATCCCCACCAACGCCCAGAGGTGGAGACATGCTGGGGGAATTCTGGGCACATAGAGAAGCTCAAACGTCAGTTGTTGGAGGCCCTTCAACAGGAATTGCTCTCAGGCTGGCCAGCCACAAGCTGTGCCCTGCTGGCCTCAAGGGCTTGGGGGACACAGACAAGAGGCCACTTTTGTTGCTACAAGGAACCAACTGGGGGGCTGCTTGTGAAGGACGAATTGGAGCAAGGGAACACGGCTACTCTAAAACAGCATTCCACCAACACAAAAGCAGCTGCTGCTTCCTGCTTCAACTTTGTATCTGTAATGGAAGGGGAGAGATGATAAGACAAGGAAACTAAAGCCACGAGAAGCGGCAAAAACAGAGCGGTGATGCGTGGATGGCCACGGTTCCCCCGAACAAAGACGGTGGCCGAGGGAAGGCGTCGGGGACCCTCAGCAGGACACCTCCATGGTGTGGTTGATCTGGCCCATGGCTTCACTGCTTTCAGAGCGGGTGCAGGCTCTGGGACGGCTGCCATCTGCCGAACTGGCACTGGTGAGGGAGGCTGTGCGAGAGCGGGCCAGGCGTGTCATGCTGGCTGAGGGCACTGCAGAGAGGCAGAACAAGTGTCACCCTGCGAGGCCAACTCAAGCACCCCAGAGAAGAGCCGAGAAGACACAAGAGGGAAGCCACATTCAACCCTGCCCAGCAGCTCACCCGTTTCTGACGGAAGCCCTTCCAGCAGGCTCTGGCTATACAACCTGAGCTAGACTTTCAAGCGTTTGTAAGAGCCGAGAGGCAACTTGGTGCCCTACGAAGTGTAAATCCTTTGCCGTTGGCCAGGAAGAGCACCAGGCAGCCTCTCTCCGAAGGATGACTTGGCCCACTCACCCTGACTGCACTGCCCCAACTGGCAGAGCCTTTCTGATCACCTGGGGCCCAGTGAGGGCCCTGCTGAGGCTTTGTCTCACCCCAGGCACTGCGGACAGGCCGGAGGGTATCCTCCCATGCATCTTAGTGGGAGCAAAATAGAGAGGAAAGTAAGCCTCTCGACCAATGGCAGGGGGCTCTGTGGGCGGGGTGTAGGGAGCTGGCCTGCACACCCTAACCAATGGCACTGGGGAATTAATGTCCATTCTCCTTTTCTTGTCTGGTTAGAATTGGATTCCCTTGGATGCCTCACCTCTGCTCTCTCTTGACCTTCCTTAAGATGCCCCTGGCTTTGTGGGAGCTGTTGGGGAAACCCCAAAGCATGGTCAAGGCGAGTTCCCTTGGCTCTCAGCAGCTCCCCCAGCCCGACTTCCTCTTCATGGCGGGGCCCTTGGCAGAAGCCACAGCGGGGAAGACACACTCTACAGCAGGCAGGTGCGTGGCAGAGGAGTGGTGGGGGGCACATGCAGCAAGCAGGAAGGGAGTGGACCCTGCAGGGCTGCAAGTACCTGATCCTCCACTCAGCCGCCGGTCCTTCAGGTACGCCACTGAGAAAAAGATGGAGAGTTGAATAGGAGGCAAGGGGGGGCAGCTCTGGGGAAAGGGGCTCTTGGGGAAGCACGCACACTCAAGGTTTGGCTGACGCCTGGCCAGACGGGGCAACTGGACAAGGGGAAGGCAGGTTTTACTCAAGAGGGCGCTCAGGCTGAACTGAGAAACCACAAGGGCGCATCCGCCCGCTTAAGGCACTCTGGGAACTGTGCAAGTGGGCCAAGGGGGGCTGAAGCCCTCCTTTCCCAGCAGTCTGCAAATGCACCCCAAGGCTGCTCTAGCAGGTGACGGCTTCCTGGGCCCGAGAGAGCCCCTGCCAAAGAACCCAGCACTCCCTTATGAAAAGGGGCCACAGGAATGGCTGGGAGCCGAGGGGCTCTCGAGACCCCTGCAAGGAAGCTGTGCCTGGGCTTCAGCAGGCTAGGAGGAGCCCCCGGCTTCTTTCGGCTTTCCAGCGTGGGCAGAAGCAGAAGGGGCTGCTTGGCTCCTGCTACTCCAGCCTCCCCCGTTTGCCCCAG